ACGAATGGAGAGGAAGGGGGGCGGGGAGGAAGCGGGGGAGCAAACGAACGAGGGGGGAGTGGGCCAGGGAACCCCCTCCGCTTCCGGGTAGTTGGCGTCACTTCCGGGCGAGCCCCCCAATCGCACGGCGCCCGCAGCTCCCCAGCCCTACCCTCCCGGCCAAGATGGCCGCCCTCCTGTGCCTCAGCTGCTGGGCGGGGGACCGGGGGGTTCTCCCCGCCAGGGCTCCCCTTCCCCTCTTCCGTTGACCCCGAAACCCATCAGGTTGACCCCTCGGCGTTTCAGAATCCCGCTGAGCCGAGTGAGGCGGTCCAAAGTGATCCCTGGAGGGGGCAGTGCCAGACGTTTTGGGGTCCCCTTCCTCAGCGTCGCAGCTCACAGCTTTCTTCCCGGAGAAACGCCCCCTAACACCCTCCCGGCTGCTGGCGGAGGGGCGGGACCTCTGAGGGAAGGGGCGGAGCTAGTGCAAAGCAGGTGATTACGTGTCACTTCCGGGAGATAGGATGACCTCATTGTGTAGTTAGACACCCCCCCCATCAAAATGGCTGTGTCTCACCTCCTTGGCTGATAATTTTATTTTTTCTTTTGAATTCCTCTTACTCTGTTCTTATTTTGAGAGGCCTTTAAAAAATCACATAAGTCAGTTGAAATTCCTACAGTTTACTGAGTCTCACTTCTAGTTAGACACTTCTCTATTCTCTGTTGACCCCTGATTTTCTGTCACTGACAACTTTACCATCTTTTGTAATAAAGATTCCATCACCCCCTTCAGAAAACTCCAAGCAAAATACAGTTAGAAATCAGCCTAGTTGTGTCTCTTATGTTGGAGCAGTATTGAATAGGCATGGTGTGACCTTGAGTATTTTCTGCACTATCAAGATGTATTTCTACCAACTTTTTAAATTTTTTATTTAGTTCCTTTCATTATTATTATTTAATTTGACCAGAGAGAGAAAGAGAGAAAAGGAAAGCAAAAGAGCAAACCACCAGGTCAGGGACTCGAACCATGGTTGGCCATGTGAGAGTCTAGCACCTTAACCACCATGCCACCTGCTGGCCCCTCTACCAACTTTTTTAAGTGTGCAGTTCAAAAATTCTATGACCTTAATTTGGAAAATTCAGAATTAGCCAGGGCTTTGCCGGTATCAATTACTTGTAAAGGCTATTTGAATGTGTGAAGATTGCTTTTTAGAAATTTTTTTGTTGTTGCTAAGACTTTGTCGGTAAACATGACTTTAAATGAGTGAAAATGTTATCAATGTGCTATATCATTAAAATAGGTGCAGGATACACTACTTAAACTTACTAACAAATTACAGAAGTGAAGCAGCACTGAATGGATTTGAATTACAATGATCTTACAATGGAAATATATTTGAAGTCAGGTAGAGCAGGTTATGTAGTTACAGTTATCGATTAGGTGAAATGAACATTTTGAAGTTAAAAAAAAAAGTACAGATTTTCTCACTGACCTTGGATTTTCAAACTCATTTGTGATTCTGTCTACTCCCTTCAGTAAAATCTTCTACCATTACCAATAACTTCTTTAGAATGTTAAGGAGACAAGTAATATTGGTATGGCATTGAGGTTCTGTGGAAAAAAGATGCCTTTAACAATGTCAAGAATTACTCTTGTGGCCAGAAGATAGTATAGTGGTTAAGTTACTGGACTCCCAGAAGGCAAACCACAGTTCAAGTCCTGGTGTATATGTATGCCCAAGATCCCAGGAGGAGAATGGAGGAGAAAAAATTGCAGCATGGCCATTCCCCCTCCCAAGGAGGTGATTTCTCACTTACCATCTCCCTCTCTCTCTCTCTCTCTCTCTCTCTCTCTCTCTCTCTCTTGTGCACACACCCTAAGACAAAAAACTTCTTAAAAAAAAATTAAAAGTTACTGTTGTGCTTATGATATTTAACACTATAGCCCCTAGTTAAGTTTAAGTGGTAGGGCAAGACAGGAATACCACATTTTATGACACAACTTTTCATGGGTATATATGACAAGGTAAAACCTATAAAGAGTTTACAGTAAATATTTATATACATACCCCAGATGTTTGAAAGGGGGATAAGTGATTCCAAAATGTCCTTTTAGAATCAAGTCACATAACTCTATCCTTTTATTTTGTACTCTGGTTTAAGCTCCCTTCCTCTTACGGTAGTTAAACCTATGGTCAGCAGGTATAGATCATTTCTACATATTCTGGGTTATCAGAAAATTCATGACTTATTTTTCTATGCAAAAAATGCATCATGACTTTTTCAATGACCCAAGAGATATGATTCTGTTTCTTTACTGAATTCGAGTAAATAAAACCTTAGATGATGTAAGTGAAGCATAAGATTGCTCAGATTTAAATTCCAGCTCCACTAAAATAATATGAATAATGTAAGCAATACAACCTCTTTAAACCTCCTTTTCCTCCTTTATAAAAATATTAACCTTCTTCAGAAAGTTACTGGGTGGATTGAAAGTGGTAATTCATTCAGAGCTGTTAACATATACCTGCTATTATTATCATTACCATTATTATTATTGTCGTTTGCATGGTACCAACATATATATAAATTCTGTCACTGGGTATATTTGGCATCTCTAATAAAAGAAGACATTTTTAAATATTTCTAGGAAATAGGTACAGTTAATTGTGTTTGGGTCATTCAGTGGTGTGATGGTTAGAGTGGCTGGATCCCACATAGCCAACTGCACTGTTTGAGTCCCGAACCTGGCAACTTGAAAAATATGCCAGGCATATATGTGTGCGCCCAAAATCCTGAGAGGAAAGTGGAAAAGAAGGACTGCAGCATGGCCAGCCCCACCCCACAGGATGGATTGTCAACACCTACCCCGCAAACGCACAGGCCCGATTTTTTAGCAAATATTTTTTACTTGTACTTTTAAACACATTTTATCTATTTAAACTGTGAGGCTATGAAGTAAGATATAAAAGCAGTAATGACATATTTATGATTATTATGTTTCTATGTCCTAAAGGAACATAATCTACTAGTGAAATTAGCTAAGAAAAGTACATTCATGATATAAGACTGACAAATTAGATTATGAGTCAGAAGTTTTTATCACAAGTGTCAAACAGATCTGTAAGAGTCACAGACTACCAGACGGTTTCAACTTTGCATGTCCTGCTTCAACAACTTTATCCTTCTGCCCATCTTCTTCGGAAGGGGAATACATTGTAAAATTGAGAAGGTTCTCAATTTAAAATCAATTCAAATGATCATCAACTTAGGAAGACTCACTGGAAGGTTAACCTAAATTTGGACTGTGCTATGAATGGTACTTTATTTTACCTAGAATTTTAAAACAATTCAGTTTCCAAGTAAGTTCAGCATTGAGCGCGATGCTAAACATATAGTGGGCAATCAATAAATAGTGGTTTAATAAGTGAGTTAATTAGATCAATTTTCTAGATAACTGAAATTAACCTCCCAGTGCCAAAAAAGAAAGTACTTTCATTTTACGATGTTAAATCCTTATCAAATGAATTGCCGTATTACAGACATACGCAAAAACTTGTTAAAGTGTGGTGAGTGGGAGAGGATAAGTAGAAATAAATGCCTCGCCAGTTTTCTACACACCAGGCAGATAGTTAACTTTTCTTGACAACTTTACCACAAGGTGGCCCTATGCTAAGACCTCTGACTATTGCCTACCGAGGCTTATTGGGCACCTTGGTGATGGTGGTGGTGAGATTTTCCCCTACATAACAATTTTTTTAATCTTTGCTTTTTTTAATTGCTTAAAAACTTTGACCCCTGGACTTGCACTCTGCTCTAGAGCGGCAAGCAAAACAAAGCATGTTGGAATGAAATATTATATAATAGAATAGCAGTAAATAGATAAAAGGAGAAAGTTTTTTAAAGAATTATTTTACTTACCTTATTTATTTATTTATTTATTTATTTATTTATTTTAACTTGCTATAGTCATCAGAGAGAGAGGAAGAAAGTAAGAAAAAGCAAGCCACCAGGTTCAGGACTCAAACCATGGTCAGCTATATTGGAGTCCAATGCCCCAACCATCACACCACCCTCTGTCCCCTGGGGAAGTTAGTGTTGAATGCTATTATGTATTAAACATTCCTTCCAAACATTATTCATTGTCATCTTACAACAAACTGAAAAGGCATGGTTTAGGAAACAGATTCAGGTCGCCCAACAATTTACCCAGAATCATACTCTTAGAAAGTAAGAGAGCCTTAGGTTAGAAACCTAGCAGGTTTACTTCATCATTCCATGCCACTCACTCACTGGGCCGGCAGCTGT